TACCCTATCCTAGAGTAAACTGCTTGAAAAACATACCCTTCACAGCGGCACATACCTACATAGCCCATATATGGCAGTGCCCCCCCTGGGCTCCCGCCCCTTCCCCACTCAATATTTGATGTAAAAATCTAAGATGTGATTATGTTGTTAACAAGTACTATCCAGTCTTCTTCAAAATATTTGCAAATGTACATATAGCTTATATAAGCGGCATGTAAAGAAAGTCATTTCTGATAGTCCTGGGCTACATGTAGTTGATTCTGTATTGTCTCTAAATCCTCCTCTAATACTTCAGGTAAGAAGACACATAGTCAATCTGGAAATGACCTCCAGCCACTGTTGGCTCAGTGAAAGTGTGCGATGTGTGATGGCTTAACCAATCAGATTGCAGCATTTGCATTATTATAATATTTTATTACATGTACTGTATGCTTAGCCCAGAGGAATTGACTACTACATAATGTACATTATACATGTAATATACATGTACATGTACAACGTACTTAAACTTAATGGGCATCCACTGATCTTGAGACTTGTTTTGTTTAATAGTTCAGACATGAATTCAAAGTTATTATATTCTTCAAACTGATGCATCTTGTCTTTTGATTTTGTCAAGGTTTATTCTTCTGATTTATGGCAGCATCTGGTGATGATATGGCATCTGAGGGTGGTACCCAGGGGAATGTCACTCTGCAATTGCAGTGTAGTGCTTCAAGCTCTGCTGAAGATGTTAGAAAGCTATTGGAAGAGAAACTAGACCGGCAGCTTACTGGTTATGTGGTTGTGTTCAATGGCACTGAGGTAACAAAATCAGATGTTAAACCAATATTTTACAGTTTGTTACAGTGTAAGGTGTTAAGAGTGCCCTGGAAACCAACAAAAGCATACAATCATGTACAGTACTTAATCAAGTACATGTAAATTTATTCACTGTGGTATGAATTTACAAAATGTCCTACTGTACAATGGGGGAATGATCAAGACTTCTTATAGGTTGCGGAAGAAAGACAAATTTCGCGGGACTTTTTGACTCAAATTTTGTGGAAAAAAACTGCCAATTTCGTGAGAATTTTGTGGGAATTTTCTGAGCAAATCTTGCCTGAAAAATATTTTTAACGAAAAAAAGATGGCAATTTTACTATTTTGGGGGGAAAGTGATGGGCCTTTGCAATAACAACTGCAGGAACGGAAACACTGACTCATACTTGTGAATGTTGCCTTTCTAGAATGGGTGTTTTTGCAGGAAAATTTCAGCAACTTGTTTTGACTGTCTTATGTGTTTGCTATTAGTTTGGCCACAAGGTTCTTTTTTAAGGCTACCGTATACCTTCAGATTGCAATTTTCTTTAAATTTGGATTTTTGGGTCAAAGTAATGGTCGAAGAGTAATCTCTAATTTCTGAAAAAAAAATTGAAAAAAAAAACACTAAATATTGGCAGAGAAATGGAGGTTTTAGGTTTTGACTGGAAATAAAAGTTCCTGCTTGATTGACAGCCCTTTAACGTGTATGCAATCAACTGAGATGACTTTCGCAGAAATATTACCCAGTTGATCAGCTTTGCTATCCAAGCATTTTTCGTATTAGATGTAATTCTTTTATTATAAGTTATAAGTAAACATGGTCCACAGAAAACTTTGTGGACCAGTTTGAAAAAGCAAAAACAGTGAAGAATGAATGAAAATACATCTCGCGGTGAAGAAGCCAAAGTTGGCCTCACGGCTGAAGCTATAGCTATCGTATCAAGCGGACAAAAAGATCGAATCAAGAGAAGAAAAAGGTTCTGTAAAAATTTGGGAACTTAACAGCGATAAGAACAATGTTTACAGTGACTCTTCTGTTGAGTACAATACTGATGTCTTGAATCATTGTACTCATTGAGACCCATTGGAATATTATCCCTGCACATTTGCTCCACCGTGTTTTCTATTGTTTGTTTTCTTCACCCTGCCACTCTAGCATTCATATCCTTTTTCGTCTTCCCCATTTTGCCCGACCAGCTTCAAGAAAAACCGAGCTACAGAAATATGATCTCTCCGGCTTGAGCGCATTGCAAAACACGGGGGTATTTGGGAGATTCATGTGTAAATTTCACTGCGAGGGTAATGGTAGTGAACTTTCCAAGGGCTGATTGGCTCGGTGATCTGAGAACCCAGTTGAAGGCATTTGTGGGCAGAGTTTGTTTGCAGAGCAAGAACATTTTCTTTGTGTTATTTTCTCGAATAAATTTTTTCCCTTGAAGCAGACACTTAAAAGAGTTACAACTCAAAGGGAATTTCTTCGGTTACCCTCAAATTTGGACAGTAGCTAGATTAACATATCAAAAACAAAAACATGTCTGCTAATTGTTTATTTCAAAATATTTTTTTCTCCGAGATTGATTTTTGTACGATCACTTCACATTTTATAAATCCTATTTCGAAAATGTTCTGTAACTTTTTACTGCAATTGAATATGGCAAAACAAAGACACGCTTTTTTTAACGCTTTTTGTTCTGAAACCGAGGAAAAAAAATAAATTGGCAAAAAAACAAAATTTGCTTTGACTTGTAGCTTCCAAAAGGTGATTAGGGCACTTGCATTTAGTGTTCATGAAAAAATCGGCAATTCATTTTATTTCAAAATTCGTGGTATAGTTTGATACATGTTGCCAGTTCTGTAAGCTTCAATTTGATATAGGGGTTTAGGTATCTACAGCTTAACCCAGACGCGCTTCATCGCTTGGATGCGAGATACCCCTGAAGGTATATGGTAACCCTTAAAGAGATGTTCATTTGCTGTTTCAACAACAGTGCACTTGAGAAATGCACCAATGGCAAAGCTTTTTGCATGATGGCCACTGCTCAGTTTTGGGATGTTGTTTGGGATGGTGAAGTTTTGGGATAAATTTGCAAGTTTACGGCAAGTAAACCGCCCCAGCAGCTACATGTATTAACCCTTGAAATAACGGCCAGATTTACTCAAAAAGTGCTGTTTTTTTGCCATTAACTTGGGTTTTTGGCTGCCATGACCCTGAATTGGCCTCAACTTTGTTGAAAAAGTGATTTAATATTATCAAGGGGGAAGATTTCCCCGAGATTTGGTACCAAAATGTACAATTGATGAATTAATTTTACTTTGGAGCATGCACATAAGCCAAAAAATTAGACTTTTTTTGCTGGCCTGATCCAATTTTTTTTCTTGGCCTTTGCCTTTCCTTTTTCTTGCCCATTTTACACTTGCTAACTTTTGCTCTTCATATCCTTTCTGCCAGCCGTAAAAAGTTTGTTGTTGAACCTTGATTGATTTTAAGTGTAATGGGCCATTTTACAACCAATTTTGCAGCAAAAATGCTCACAGTTTGTTTTTCAATTAGCTACGTGTATGTCGCAATGCAGCTGATATCCAAAACGGACAGCTGTGCAGATAGATCTATCCTACTGTAGCTCTATTAGCTGCTAATCAAGAATATCTGTTGACGCCTAAATTAATGACGTCACAAGTGGTACAAAGTGCATGACCCCGCAGCGTATGAAAATGTATGATTGGCCCTTAAAGGCTTAAAGATAACTTTCATATATGTTGTGCCGACATATATTTGGTAAGATTTCTAGTGAATTTTACAGTATTTTGTGTGTGTTTGAGAATTTTGCGGATTTACTTGAAATTTGCAGCCATGTGACCACGCAGAATTTCAGAAGTCCAGTGTTTAATGTGTACGTGCACCTGCACTGTGCATCCTGTAGCATCATACTTGTAAAAAAGGAAATTAATACAGTAGAACCCTGGTAACTCAAACTCGGATAACTCGAACTCCCCCGCTAACTTGAACTGAGTCTCAATTCCCTCGGATTTGACCCAACTTTTCAGTCATTTTACTCACTCAGTTAACTCAAACTCGAATAACTCGAAATTCCCGCAAACTTGAACTGAATTTCATTTCCCTTGATCAAAATTTACCCTGACAACTCAAATTTCTGGTTCTCATAACTCTCCACGGGTGCCCATTGGGATATCCCATTAGCTTTTCTTATCGTGTGATCAAATTCTAACACTAGAACAAAGACTGGAACAATTTGATTTTAATCAGTGCAACGATCAGATCACTGCAAGCGAAGTCAGATCCGCAATTGATGCTGGTGAACAAGGATGCAGAGGAAATCAGAAGCCATGTACAGCAAATAGAGGCATTAGCAGAAAGAATCTTCAGGAGCTCCCTACGACAGCAGACGCTGCATTCATTTTTTGTGCCTAAGCAATAAGAACTTTACGGATATGATAGGACAACCCCAACGCAAAAGGGAACATATATTGAGTGTATTAAATAAACTAAGTTACATTCACAGTATTGCATTGTCATAAGAATGTATAATTGTCACAGTTATCACAAATGTATTAGTTTCTTGTGAAATAACTTTAATTTACACTGCATTGTATATATACCAAAGTGCTGAAAATCAATAAACTATTAATTATTTGGAAAACTGAATATTTTAATCGATCCCAATAACTCGAAACCTCGCTAACTCGAACAGTTTTCGTTTTCCCTTCAGAGTTCGTGTTACTGGGGTTCTACTGTACTCGTACAGGCCGGTGTATGTACATGTAGGTCTAACTTGTTTGACTAATTTCCCTTGATGTGTGCAGCTACATGCACATGTACATTGTACATGTACTATTATACACTGTACAGCATACAATGTGCTTGGATTACACTGCATGGTCATACATATAAATAGTCGAAATAGTTTTTCTGGATTTACTTTTTTAAATATATACTGTAGCTTACTACTGTTCAAAGCATTTTGAAAGACCAAGCTCTTGGTGATGGAGACCCGGACCAGATGCTTACTGTGCTTGCAGTTTTAAATGGTAAGTTGCCAAATTTCTGTTTTAAATTTAAAGACCTTGTGTTGATCACTAGGAACTGTAAGAAATCATCCATTTATCTTATACATTGCACGCATTGCACATGTACATGTTTGTTAGGATCGGAAGGGAACATTACCCGGCAGTTGATTATTAATTTGAATTTTATCTCTCGTTCGGATTTTGCTTTGACAGAGAAGCTGAAAAAGTCACTGACTTAGCTGTTTATATGTACTGTCAGTGGTGTTTTGATTACCTTTGTCAATGTCAAGTTGATAATCAACAAAGTGTTTCATCAGTGTTCTCAGTAAATGTTTTGATTGGTCAATTCTCTTGCAAGTTCCCCTTTTCAAATTGTTAATATGCTAGTACTAATAAAACCTTTTTAAAAAAATCAATAAAATGCATGTACACTAATGAAAACTACATGTATTGGTGTGAACCTACAATTATTTTGTCTAATAATTATAAATGTTATATTTGTTATTATACATGTAGAACCTTCACTCACCTAGTTTGTTTTTTTTTTCTCAGAGGAGAACCTCAGAATAGAAATCACCAGTATTCAAACTGCTTCTGAAGGTTTGCACTGTACATATAATTATTTTGAAAGATAATGGCTTCACTCACAACAGACAAGTTCTCTTATTATAATCAAAGTTGCCAACTGAAGGTGGTTTTGCTTATTTGCGATTGTGGAACAGTTACAATAAAGAGGGAATTTCTCCTTTAGTGAAAATCTTTTTTGATTACTGGACCTTTCACTAACTGCATGCAAACTCAGAAATTCACGAAACTAATGATTGCGCTTTTGCCTGCCGTTCATCATAATTACGGCGGCAACTGTCAACAAAACCTTTATAAAACAAACAAAAATAATGATTTGAAATCCACCAATCACAGCCATTGCCAATAGTCATGTTTGAAGTGAATCTCTGTTTCCTGAGAGGTCAGCTTAAGTAGAAGTATATTGACAGCAGCAGAATGCAAAACTATTAATTGAGCAGAGCTCACATGTTATTATAAGGGTTGATGGGAGAGGTAATGTACACCGTATGCAAAAAAAGTTATCAAAGGATGCCTGATAAACTGATAGTCAATTTGCTTTCAAAGTCACCTTGTGTTTACTCAATGAAAAAGAGGAGAATAATGATGCATTGCATGGGATCAAAACTCACTGAAAATCTTTTGACAGGCTGGTCGCTACAGCAGTTGGCTCTTCTTGTGTTCTTACAAGTGAAGAACTTTGATTTCAAGCAATGCGTAAAATGCATGTGCAGGTACAAATGTACATGACTTTGTACACTAAGCAAGGCGATCTACGTGTAGCTGCGAGGCAATCTACATGTAGCTGCTATGAATTGTACAGGTAACATTTATAAATTGTGAAGGGATTGTGAAGTGTTGTTGACCATTTTGTTGTTTCTCTGCAGTTGACATGCTTCCTCTTCC